AATAAGTAGACCCCAAAATACCATACTATTATTTGATATTGTGATATGTTAGAACAACATGCTAGTGATAGGCTAGGGATCTTCGGGAATTGCATGGTAGAATTACCTGATTATATGATGCCTAATAGCCTAGGGTTTTTTTTTATGAAATTGACATCATTACTGTAGTTGCTTAGTGTATGCATCATAGTTGTACATAACTAAGATCTTATAGCCTGAGAATGTTTGGTTTGGCCTTATTTCCTATTCTTTTTTGATGAAGGGCTTAGGGTAGGATCAGATATTCGAATGTCTATAGGGTCCAGCGTTATGTATGGCTAGCATACACGAGTGTTGCAGGGTTGGTGGACGTTTTATGGATGAGTGGTGTGGGGTCCGTCGGCCAGTTGTGAGATGTTTAGCCTTCCTCTAGGAGCGAGGATTTAGCGCTCGCCTATGCTTATGTATATTGTTAGGGCGTTGTGATGATCTTTGAGACAAATATGTGTAGGTGTGGAAGGTAGTATGTGCCCGTACTACTGAAAGCACATGACCCATACACATAGCAAGGAAGTCACAACCCCTAGGGCTTTGTTGGGAGTTGGTTCCCCGTTATTTATATGGAATAACTGATATCTTCCTGGTATATTTTCAGTATGGTGGTTAGGAGACGATTCGAGACCGAATCCGGGTCAGGATCAGGTACTGGAGGTTAGAGCGGGCCAACGTTGTCAGGGACCATTGGTCAGATGAGACCAGATGAGTTGGATGCCAGGATTCGGGAGATACTGCACAATGAGGTTGCTGCACTTTTCCGGGCTGAGTTGCCAGAGATGTTTGGGTCTATTAAGACCGCTATGGTTGAGTACTTTGATGAGCGCTATGCAGCCATTGCTGAGACGGCTGCCACTGCAGCCTCCGCACCCGTAACAGCTACAGGTATGGGGACAGGTCGGGCTTTTCAGTATCTGGACTTCGATAATACAAAGCCCCCGACCTATGATGGAGTTCAAGACCCGATCATAGCCATGAGGTGGCTATCTGACGTGGAGGGACGCTTTTTCACTTGTTCATGCCCTGCTGACCAGAAGGTCAGATGCTCTCTTAACCTCCTGAGGTCCGGAGCGAAGGACTGGTGGAGACTTGTTACAGGATCATACTCCGATGAGCAGAGGGCTGCAGTGACATGGGATCAGTTCAAGGAGATGTTCCGCACTCGCTACATTCCTAGGGTTGAGTGAGAAAGGTTGGCTCAAGAGTTCTTGGATTTGAGACAGGGTACAGAGTCGGTGATGCAAATCACCCGGATGTTTACTGAGAAGGCGATGTTTTGCCCGGAGTTTGCTTCCGAGCAGGCTCAGATGACTCGTTATCTGAGCATGCTCAAGATTGATATCAGACAGTTCGTTGCTACCCAGCGTTGTGATACATTACAGGAGTTACAGGAGGCCGCTAGGCGGCGTGAGCTTGAGATTGAGCTGCAGTTGAGAGAGCAGAGCCAGGCCCCGGCGCAGTAGCAGCCGGCGCCGAAGTGGTCCAAGACCGCCGATTCTAGGTCTGGAGGCCAGCGCGGCCACACTTGTGGGAAGTGCGGGAATGGTCATTCTAGAGCATGTCGATCCAGTGATGTGTGTGTTAGGGTGCAAAGTCACGCTTGTATGTATTTTGTGCTTTATCCACTTGTATTGTGTGATGAGTTTTCTTTCCTATAAATAGGAAGTGAGTGACACTCATTTATAAAGAGGAATCGTTTGGAGTGTTAGACTAGAGAGAGAATTTGTACAAGACCCACTTTGTATATTCTTCCTAGATCTAATATGAGCTTGAAAAGATTTATTTACTTGATGTGTTCTTGATTTTATATAATGATTCACTAGATCTTTTCTTATTCCGCACATGCCATCATAATCAACACCACTACAATTAGTATCAGAGCGGGTGTTATTGATTTGATCAAGAATTGGTCCTTGATGGCTTTCAAGATTTGGTGATTCTTATTTTGATCTTTGATCTTCGTGCTTTAGAGAGTTTGGATTCTAGAAATCGAATTCATCTTTGATTCTATTCATAATTCGATTTTCTTCACGAGAATTCAAGTGATTTTTACTTTCTCTCTCTAGAAAACCCATTCAAAATCACTTTCTCTCTCTAGAAATTTTCAAGTTCTTATGATCATGGTGGATTTTCCGTATGATTCTTGGGTTGTGATCGTTGAAGATATCAAATACAAAATCAATGAAGATCAATTTTATGGGTTGGTGTTAAGCAAATTGATTTCATGGGGTAATATGGTTTCTTATGGAGATTTGAAGGATGATAATGGAAGCTTGATTTTTCAACCACTTTGTAAGATTCTATGGTTGAATAAATTGCATTGTCCATATTAGTCCGTAGTAGAAATCAAAAGGAAGGAGAAGAAAGAGATTTGTTCAATAAGAAATACATTTCTCTAATTGAAAACCCAAATGATCTCCATGCTCTTAAGTTTGTTGAAGTTCAAGACAATGGAGTTCAATGTGATGTTCTTGATGTTCTTGAAGTTCATGATAAGAAGATTCAAGTTGATTCTCTTGAAGATGAAAACGTTTTTTGCTCAATTGGAATTCAAACCGATGATATTTTGTGTTCTTGTGATTCGTTTGAATGAATGATTCCTTATCGAAAGCCGATAATCCAAGAAATTCACAAATATCAAACTCCAAAAGATTTGATTCAAACTTGTCAATTTGAAGTTGTCAAGAATGAAGGTGTTCTTGAAATCAAATCTTCAAGATGCAAAAAGAGGAGAAAGAAAAAGAAGAAGAAGATTAAACGGAAAAACAAGCGGGTTTACTCACAAAAATCGTCAAATGTTGTGAAGTCGAAATCCGTGAAACAAATTTGGGTTCCAAAGCAACAATCTCCAAATGTTGCATTGAATTTGAATTCAAAACCGAAAAGTTTTGGTGGTTCTTATGAAGATGTTCTTGGATCGTTGAAGATCACGAAGAACGAGTTGTACATCACGCATCGTGGGTGGTACAATGTTTAAATTTGAGATTTTCTCATTCCAACAAAAGAACCAAGATCTTCTAAATTTGATTCGTTTGTTGCAAATGGATATCGATTCGTCAAACAGGTATCTCAAATTCTTAAATCGATCCCAAAACGTCCATGATTTCGATTCGTATTTTATGTTTTTCATTTTTGATCGATTTGCTTCATTGGATCAAATCCGTTTCAACCACATTGATTGATCCAATAATTTTTTTAGATCAAGCCCAATCTATCTTATTGAAATCATTCGATTCAAAATGAAGCCCAAATAATCATATTGATTTGTTGTTGTTCATATTCAACCCAATCAAAAAAGATTTGATCCATACACTGTTCACATTGAATTACTTTGAGCCCAAATCTTATTATTCATTACTGTTCATCGATCCATACAATTTTTAGCCCAAAAATTATATCGATTCGTTTTCTTGATTGAATCCAGAATAAATGTTCGATCGTTCCTATTCACTGCTTGAATCGAAATGTTGACTCTCGTTTGCTTGAGTCAAACTACTTCTTGATGTGCGTCAAAATCGATTTTGATTCAGTTTCTATCCGATGTTCATTATAATTGTTTCAAAATCGAACATGTTTGAGTCAAAGTTGTGCTTGTTGTCGATTTGGAGTTGAACGTACCTGGAGTCGAATTCAATTTCAACTGGTATTAAGTGTTGATTTTTGCGTTCAAATCGAACTGGTATTGATCGAGAATTCGAAATTGAAAGTCAAAAACTTAATTGTTTGGAATCGAGATTTTATTTGACTGATTTTGATTTGGAATCGTTCTCTTGAAATCGATTCGATTGAGAAAGTTAAATGGTAAAAGTCAAAATTGATTTTCTTAGTAAATTGAATCGATGTTCGTTATGAATTGTTGAAGGTTGATAACGAAATCATGAGAGGTTGATAACGAACACCAAAGAGGAGTTGATTTTGATTTTGGAATCAAATGGTTGAAGTGTTTGATTTTGGATCAGTAATCGGTACAAAGGAATTTAATAATTCATGATTGTTTCCGTTTCTTCAAAAAATCATGTTGATCTTCGAAGACCCGCTCTAATACCAATTGATGTGAATTATGAGCATTGATTTGGCATGCGGAATTAAAGAACACACAAAGAACATGGTGATTTGGGTGCTAAAAGGTGTATTCGATCATAGTAAATGAGTACAAAAAAGGTACTAGATCTAGAACTCCAGAAATACCTCACTCACTACTCACTATGAATTACATCTCTCAAGCACACCTCTACAAGTGGTATGAACCCACCTTATATAGAGGTGTTTACATGTCTCTCTCTCTCACTCTCTATCTATCTCTCATGTCACAAGGCTACTTTACCACATGCAAGTGGGTCTACAAAAGTCAAACCATTTACAAAGTCATACATTGATAACTTTGTACCAAACAGTATACCGCAAGTGTGGCAGGGAGGGGCACTTTGCAAGGGATTGCCGCCAGTTAGCCCCGCTTCAGGATATGAGGATTTGTTACCGCTGCAATCATATTGTTCATGTGAAGACCAACTGTCTGTTGCTTGCCGCTAAGCCGGTGTAGGCTCCCACCCCAGCTACATTGAGGATCACACACGGGAGCCAGGGCAGGGCAGAGCCCTAGCAGACTCGAGGACGCGCCTTCCAGCTCATAGCCGAGGAGGCCAGGACAGCACCAGATGTGGTGGTTCGTTTGTTTCTATCCCTTATCTTATTGATTATATTTATTTTATGCTCATATGTTTGTACCTATGTTAGGTACGTTCTTAGTGAACTCTCTGCCACCTCTTGTATTGTTTGACTCAGGGGCGAGTCGGTCATTTGTCTCCCGATCGTTTAGTATGGAGTTCGGTGTTCCTTTAGGAGAGCTAGAGTGTCCGTTGTGAGTCTCCATTGCCAACGAACACGAGGTTTCTGCTTCATCAGTTTATCGGGGTTGCGTTCTAGAGATCTTCGGAGTTCCCTTTCCGATTGACTTGATTCTGATTCCCATGGGGGATGTTTGTGTGATACTAGCTATGGACTGGCTGATTCGTTTCGGTGCCATGATCGACTGCGAGGGTCAACATGTGGTAGTTCAAACCCCAAGTGGGGGAGACCTGATTATCTATGGTGATGGCACCAGGTTGGGTTCAGGGTTTTGCTCGGCAGCCAGGGCACGGCAGTATATTCAACACGGATGTGCGTGCTATTTGGCGTATGTTGTAGATACGCGGGTCAGGGATCAAGTCTCGGTTTCTGAGGTTCCAGTCATTAGATATTTTACTGATGTGTTTCTGGAGGAGTTACCCGGAGTTCCTCCAGAGAGGCAGGTCGAGTTCAGGATCGACATTGTGTCAGGTGCGGCCCCTATCGCCAAGGGGTTGTACCGATTGGCACCGCCTGAGATGCAGGAGCTGTCATCTCAGTTGCAGGAGCTGCTAGGAAAGCACTTCATTCGTCTGAGCAGTTCTCCGTGGGGAACACTGATTCTCTTCGTGAAGAAGAAGGATGGTTCACACTGAATGTGCATCGATTACCGGGAGATGAACAAGTTAATGGTGAAGAACCGTTATCCACTTCCACAGATTGATGAACTATTCAATCAGCTACAGGGAGCATCTTGGTTCTCCAAGATAGACCTGAGGTCTGGGTACCATCAGGTCATGGTGAGGGAGGAGGACATGGAGAATACCACGTTCTGGACTCGTTATGGACATTAAGAGTTTGTGGTTATGCCGTTTGGGCTCACCAACGCGCCGAAAGTATTCATGGACCTGATGAATCGGGTATGCAGACCGATGCTTCATCGCTCAGTTATTATGTTCATCGATGACATCTTGGTGTATTCCAAGCTCAAAGAGCGGCATGAGGAGCATCTCCGCGAGCTACTAAGGGTTCTGAGGCGAGAACGGCTTTATGCCAAGTTCTCAAAATGTGAGTTTTGGTTGCGAGAGGTTCAGTTCCTTGGACATCTCGTTAACCAGGATGATATATTGGTCGATCCGGCCAAGATCGAGGCGGTGATGTAGTGGGAAGTTCCGAAATCTCCCTCGGATATCAGGTTTTTTCTGGGATTAGCAGGGTACTACCGGAGATTTATTTTGGATTTATCCAAGATTGTGGTACCCCCCACTCGTCTGACGAGGAAGGGGGTAGATTTCCAGTGGGGACCTGAGCAGCAGACTGCATTCGAGACTCTGCGACAGAGACTTTGCGAGGCTCTGGTGTTGACCCTCCCTGAGGGAGTAGAGGATTTTGTGGTTTTCTGTAATGCGTCCATCACCGGGCTAGGGGCAGTCCTCATGTAGAGAGGACAGGTGATAGCCTATGCATCGCGACAGTTGAAGCCGCATGAGACGAGATATCCCACACATGACCTGGAGTTGGGAGCGGTAGTGTTCGCCCTCAAGATCTGGAGGCAATATCTATACGAGGTCTGTTGTAGCATCTACACGGATCACAAGATCTTGAGACATATCATGGATCAGATAAACCTGAACATAAGTCAGCGCATGTGGCTGGACGTAGTCAAGGATTATGACTGCGAGATCTTTTACCGTCCTGGTAAAGTGAACGTTGTGGTAGATGCCCTGAGCCGCAAGTCGGCTGGATCTTCAGTTCCGGCGTCGTGTATGAGGATATCGGTGGATTCTCCACTTGTGAGCTTGATCAGGGAAGCTCAAACTAAGGGTGTACGACAGGAGAATTGGAAAATTGAGAGGATCAGGGGCGAGATCATCAGATTCGTGCAGGATAGTCGTGGATTGTTGACCCATTGTGGTCGGGTGTGGGTTCCGATGTCTAGTGGGGTTAGACAGATCGTGCTAGAGGAGGCTCACGAGTCTCGTTTCTCTATTCACCCGGGAGCCACCAAGATGTAACGGGATCTGAGTTTGAGTTACGGTTGGCCATGCAGGAAGAGAGAGATCGCTTAGTACGTCGAGAGGTGCTTGACCTGCAGGAAGGTCAAGGCCGAGCATCAGAGGCCACATGACAAGTTGCAACCTATGGAGATCCCCATGTGGAAATGGGAACAAATCACGATGTACTTTATCACCAAGTTGCTGAGGACGGCGAAGGGGTATGATGCTATATGGGTCATCATCGATCGATTGACCAAGAGCGCCCATTTCCTAGCCATTCGGGAGAGTTCATCAGCCGAGAAGTTGGCCGATGTATATATCTGCGAGATTGTTGCTCGCCATGGGGTGTCGGTCTCTATTGTCTCAGACCGTGATGTTCAATTCACCTCCCGTTTCTAGCATACGTTCCATGAGGAACTGGGCACAAGACTGCATTTTAGCACCGCTTACCATCCACAGAAAGACGGCCAGAGCAAGCGGACCATTCAGACCCTCGAGAATATGTTGAGGGCCTGCGTCATTGATTTTGGCGGGAGTTGGGACTCCTATCTAACCCTTGCAGAGTTCTCCTACAACAACAGCTTTCACTCCAGCATTGGTGCTCCACCTTTTGAGCTGTTGTATGGGCGGAGATGTCGTACCCCCGTCTGTTAGGGCGAGGTTGGTCATAGGGTGATGGTTCAGACGGAGGTGGTCCTGCAGACTACTGAGATGATTTAGAAGATTAGGCAGTGGTTGCATACTTCTCAGAGTCGGCAGAAGAGTTACGCCGACTGGCGCCGATCTGAGTTGGAGTTTCAGGTCGGTGACATGGTGTTGCTGAAGGTCTCTCCCTGGAAGGGTGTGATCCGCTTTAGGAAGAGGGGAAAGTTGGTTCCCCAATACATTAGGCCATTTCGGATTATTGTCAGGGTTGGCAAGGTGGCGTATAGACTGGATTTTCCGGAGGAGCTCCGTCAGATTCATAGCACTTTCCATGTTTCACAATTGCAGAAGTGCATATTAGACGAGGATGCAGTAGTGTCATTGGATGACATTCAGGTTGACGAACGCCCAAATTATGTTGAGCACCCGGTGGCTATCTTAGAAAGGAAGATAAAGGTTATGCGTAACAAGGAAATACCTTTGGTAAAGGTACAATGGCAGCATCGGATAGGATTCGAGTGGACTTTGAAGCCGGAGGCCGAGATGCGAGAGCATTATCCAGATCTGTTTGCTACAACAGACTTCAACGAAGAAGTCTAGTTCAAGTGGGGGAGAGTTGTAACATTTCAGATTTCAGGTATTCTTCAAATTCTTCCTTGGTATTTTAATAAGTCAATTTTGGCCCTTGGTATTGGTTTGGACCTAACCCTAGGGGCAGATTGGTAATTTTTGGGAAGTTGAGTAGTACGATGGGCATACATTTCACAACTTCGTGCGTATTAGGTCACGCCCTAGTACGTTGGGCATACACCCATGTACGTCGGGCGTACGTATGTCCGGATAAGACCCTAATTTTTAGGGTTTGTGGGGTATTTAAGCAACATTATGGGACATTATGGCTCACTCTTTCAGCCTCCAAACCTCCCTTAGCCATCTTGAGAAAGCCCTAGCCTCAAAGTGAGCATTTTGAGTTTATAAGTGCGTTTTGTGTGCCTTAAAGGAGAAGCTTGTGCATTAAGCCGTCAAGGAGGGAAGATTGGCTTGTAGATCTTGGTTCATCATCTGTTTTGGGAGCTCCAAAAGGTACAAAGTTTCTACCTTTGTGTCTATCTCTTCTAGATCTATCCTTGGTAGCTTATTTGCACTCTTTAGTCCTATAAAGTCCCATTATAGTGCATGATTCGTTTTGGACGTTTTCAGCTGTCCTTTCAGACCCTAGGAAGGGCTCTAAGTGATAAAAATGAAGTCCCAATGGCTAGAAATGTCCCATGCAATTGGTAGGAAGGTATTAATGGATTAAGACCATCTATTAAGGACTTTTTGGACGTCTAAAGTCTTAAAGTTTGATACTTTATGGTTCTGAGACACATTTGGTCAATAGATTTGGAATTTGGGCTTAAGTGCTTAAGTCGTTAAGCACTTATTGGAGTTTTGAATACAACGAGGGTATGCCACACGTAGAGAGCATTACGCCCTATGTACGCAGTCAACGTCCCCGTTTCCCAGTCGATTCAAGGCTCGCGTACGTCCCGCGTAGCTTCGGGGTACGCCCAGCGTATGCCTTTTGTTGGGCTTTTGCGATATGGGCTTCGGATTTGAGCTATCTTTGGGCCAGTTTGGCTTGTGGCCTTTGCTGCACTTTATGAATAGTAGTGTCTTGGGCCAATTATGGAAATGGACCTTAGAATGAGGCCCAATTAAAGAGTTGGGCCCAATTTGGAAAATTGGGCCAATTATGGGCTTTGTATATTTGAACCTTTGGATCAATGATTTGGAGTTGGACCTTGGCTCGGATCAAGGAAAGGGTCAAATGGACTATTACCCTATATTTGGGCCCTTAGCCAAGATTGATATTCCAACTGTTGATTAGTGTTCATTTATTGTGATAGTTCGGGCTTTTCAGTGAGTCAGCACTCAGAGGTTTTCAATTCAGTTCGACATTGTGAGGTGAGTTTCCTCACTATGCTAACAGGGTCGAAGGCACCAAGGTCGGCCCTTTTGGATTGTTATCCTGGTTATCGCATGCTGCTATGTTTAGTGATCTTTTAGATCTGTATCCGGGTATATATGATGGTGCTATGTTTAGTGATCTGTTAGATATGTATCCTGGTATATATAGGATGATGATATGATTAGTGATATGTTAGATCTGTATGACTGTTTGTACATGCTAGCTAGTGTTTGATATCTATGTGTTGATTGTGTGTCTGGGAGTGGGTTGAGGCGGTCCTGCTTTGTGCTCTAGGCCAATAAAACCCAGGGTGGTCCGGATAGACTAAAGGCCCATCGGGGCGTACCAGTCAGGCCGAAGGTCCTAAGAACGGTCCAGACAGGTTGAAGGCTAGTTGAGGCGGTCCAGACATGCTGAAGGTTTTGAGAGTGGCCCATATATACTGAAGGCCGGTGAGGCGGTCCAGTCATACTGAAGACTCTATATGCATGTTGTTTGTTATGATATTGTTCTGGTTTGTATGGTATTGGTATTTTGGGGGAACTCACTAAGCTTCAGGCTTACAGTTGTGGATTTTGTTTCAGGTACTTCGGATGATCGTGGGAAGGCGAAGGCTTGATCGTGCACCTCCTCACATTCTATGATTTTGATTTATGGGATTCTCTGATATGAAACTACTTTGAAAACATTTTCTGATAACTAATGGTTTTTGGATGTTTGAAAAAGTTTCAAATTTTTTGAATTTTATGGATGTTACAAATTATGTGTGTGCGTACGTTCTGAACATGAAGTCGTACATTGACAAGTTGGAAAGGATGGATGTCGTATTCCCAAAGGAGCAAACCATTGATTTGGTTCTTCTTTCGCTTCCTAAGTCATATGGTTAGTTCGTTGAGAACTTTCATATAAGGAATCTCGATGTGACTCTAATTGATCTGACTTGTATGTTGATGGTTGCTGAAGCAGAAATGCTTAAGAACACAACTAAAGTAGAAATGCTTAAAGGATCTTGTAACATTCGAATTTTGGTAAGTTTCTCTTAATGCCCTTATGCTAAATTGTTATCATTTTGTTCAACTGGTTAGTACGCAGGGCATACTCAATGAGTACGCTTAGCGTACTGGCCAATCTGATGATCGCGAGTCTCATCCATGTACATAGGGCGTACATGGAGTACGCATGGCATACGCAAGACTGGGACAAACCCTAATTTTTAGGGCTTGTGCCCCATTTAAACGACGTAAACTCCTTCTTGGACCTTTATTGACCATCCTCCATCTCCCTTTACCCTAAACTCGAAACCCTAAGAGCATTTGGTGAGTTCTTGAGCTTAAGAGTGATTTGTTGGAGTTTTGTGGTGAAGAAGAAGAGGAACACTTGGAAGAGTTCCTTGAGCTTGTAGATCCAGAATTACCTTCTCATTTGCAATCTTTTTGAGGTAAAAATCTCACACCTTGATGATCATTTATGTTAGATCTACTTTGTGGTGTTTCTTGGGTATTTTTGGGTCTTTTGAAGCAAAGATGAGCTTTTGATCTACTCCAGAAGTAATGGATGCTAGATCTAAGCTCCATTTAGGCCCTATGTTCATAAAAATGCAAACTTTATGGATGTTTTTGGTCCATGCAAGTATTAAGACCCTTATTAAGTTCTTTTTGAGCTTTTGAGTCCCATTAATCCATGCATGAGTGTAAAGTTGCAAACTTTACGTGATAAGTCCCCCTTTAGGATCAGATCTGAGAGTTTCACTTGAGCTCTCAACCAATTAAGTGCTTAATGGAGGAGGTTGGAAAACTGGGGAGTACGTTGGGCGTACCCAGTTGGTACGCTGCACGTACTAGCCCCAGATGGAGTACACTAAGCGTACGAGCTGAGTACGCCCCACGTACTCAGCAGATGGGCTTTTGGGCTTGACGTCCTCGATATTGGGCCATAGTTTGGGTTTGTATTTGGCCTGGTTGGGCCATTAGACTCCTGTTTTGGACATGTGGCTAGCATGTTGGGCTTCCTTGGATTCAGGCCCATGATGGGTTTTGGGCCCAATTTAGAAGATTGGGCATAAACTTGACTTAGGGTGCCATTTAGAATTTGGGCCTTTTGAGTAGTTGAGTTGGGCCTTGGCTTTGGGCCGAGTTTGATAAAGGGTAAAATGGTTTTTTACCTTGTTTATGGGCCAAATATCTTAGAATCTTGGTTATGTGTCAGAATTCAATTAATAATTGGATGTTATTGATATTGATAGCGCGGGGATTTTCCGGACCAGTAGTTAGAGATTAATTAGAGTGATTCAGTAGCTAGAGGTGAGTTTCCTCACTGTGTTTAGCGGGTCAAAGACACCAACGAAGGCCCATGGCTTATTATGTTAGGATGTTAGATGTCTGCACGACTCTTGCATGTGTTATGTTCTTGTATGTTTACTGGGCAGGGCTCGATGACTATTATGCATGATATTATCTTTTTGATTATCGCATGTGTTGTATGATTATATGTTTATATGTTTACATGTATCACGGGAGGGGCCCAATTCATGGCGCGGCCTGATGACTAACAGATTTGTTTACCGAGCAGGGCTCGATGCCGGGTGAGGCCCGATGACGGGCAGGGACCATTATATGTTTATTATGTATGGTATGTGGTATTTTGGGGAACTCACTAAGCTTTGTGCTTAGAGTTTTCTATTTATGTTTTCAGATACTTCTAGTTCAAAAGGGAAGAGCCCAGGATGATTGCAGTGCACACACCACCTCATTCTGCATTGTTTGATTACTCTGATGTTTTAGGATGTATTGATACACTTTGTTCCATTTTAGTTTTATGATGATGTTTTGGATTATAGTTTTATTTAATTTAAAAACGAAACTTTTTGGTCTTAATTTTGGGATTTTATAGATCTAATCCCAAAAGTTCATTGGATGTTGAAAATGGTAATCAAGAAAGGATTTCTCTTCCCAATGGAAAGGGGTCAGCCAATATTAAACCATTTGATCGTATGGTAAAGATAAATGCTCTTTCTAAGATCATTCCACATGTCGACCCCAAATGAGTACATTTGTTTCTACTGCTAACTGAATGGACATTGAAAGCGAAGCTGCCCACATTACCTGTAAAATCTTAAATAAGATAAATTCAAGTCGTGTGACTCTACTTCAGGTACATCCATTATATAATTCCATAAGGTCCTATTCTTAGACTCGTAATACATGATGTGATGATCACATTTTGATGGTATTGCAGGATCTAAAGAAAAGAAGGCAGCTTAAGCAAAGTGAGCTAAATCGGATCGTAAAAGATGGACTTTGGCCGCGTGGTTCTATGGTCAGAATTTGGAGCAACTTCTAAGGAGTTAGGATAATTTAAAAGATTACTATTACTCTTCGAAGATGTTTAGAAATATAGTTTTTCATTTTGTTCATTGTAAGGACAAATTCCAAATTTTCATTTAACTTAATAAAAGCGAAGTTTTGGTTTACTTAGTTGTCTTATCTTATTTCCTTGCAATGTCATTAATGAAAGTGTTAGTTATGTTTCTAATAATAACAATATTAATTATGGATTTTATTGTTATTATATTGTTTGTGGTATTGTCATAATTGACCAAGTGAAAAAGAAATCTCATCACTAACTGGACAGATACTTGGTGTCGTACAAT